TGAGTTGAAAAGTTCATAATGCAATTAATTTGTCACTAAGTTCAGAAATATGATAAAGTTCATTTGATACTGATAGAAAAATATGGAATTTAGCTGTTGTTTTTATTAGTGGCTAAAATTGTGATGAAACTTTTTTTTTTTTTTTACTGGTTGTGTTGAGCTTTAAAATTATATGTAAATCTGTACTAAATTACAAAGCTGTCAACGTAGAATCCAGAAAAAACTTCATATTTGATTTGTGGTAGTTTTAAATAATAAGTATACGTGGTTGCACCATGTTAACGACGTTGGTAGTCAGGGTTATTGGGTTTGAGTGATAATGGAGGAGTGTAAAAGAATGACGAGGAGGAAGAACTTCTACTTAAATGTTTAACTTCAACCTTAAATAGTTTATGAACATAAAAAAACTAGGTCAAACACTACCTGAGTGTTATAACTCTTCACTCTTCTATCTAAAGAGCAGTTAGAGAAGATAATTTATGTATATAAATCAATGAGTTGGTATGTGTTGTGCTAGGAAAGGGTGGAGTCACTCACAACATGGATGACATCCATAACCATTGGAAAAAGGCTGAAGCTGTGAGAACTAAGTGCTTGGGTGTGCCAACCTTCGACATGGACAATGTGTGCTTCCACCTTGAGGTCCATATTGTTGTTTTGCACCTTTAATGGATTGATCATTCTTCAGACTCTCTGAATGCATTTCTTTTCCCCTGACGTGTGTATTGTTGTTTCCACAGGACAATTCATATGGGATTGTTGTTTCCACAGGACAAGTCATATGGGAAAGTTATCTACTGCAACATTAATATACTGCTTCTGTACAGAGGACAAAATTATGATCCCAAGAACCGTCCAGTTATTCCTCTCTTGCTGTGGAAGCCTTATGCACCAATATATTCTAAGCTTGTGAAGAATGTAAACGAGGGTTTGACATATGAGGAAACAAAAGAAATGAGAAACATCGGATTGAACTCAGATCCTCTCATGAAACTCAGTAAGTGAATTTGGGTAGTAGGGCTCACTACAGATTGCGTTTTGGTCCTAATCAGCTTAAAGTAGCATTGGTTGGTACATATGCTAATTTGTGATTTCAATATTCAGCTAGAAATGGTGTGTATGTGAATGTGGTGGAGAGGTTGAGGGAGGCTTTTAAGACTCAGGAGGTTGTTAGACTGGACTGCACCCATGTGGGAACCAGTGACTGCAAAAAGATTGGAGTGAAGCTAAGGGTATGTCTAATGTCTAATTGTCTATAGAATCATTATAAAATTCACTATTTCCTTTTTTTCTGTCTTTATGTTGAAGATCAAAATTGCATGTGGAGATTAATAGGGTTCTTATTATTGCAGGATTTAGTGCCATGTGTTCCTATCTTGTTTAAGGATGAGCATATAATCCTCTGGAGAGGAAAGCTGAATGAAGAGCACCCTTCAGATTCACATGTCAGCAAGTAATACAAAGTTTATCTTCATTGTTATTTGCAATTACACTAAGGCACCTTTTCTTTGACTGAAGGGTTTGGTTTGGAATGAGATTTTTAGTCACATTTGTGTTCATCAAAGTCCCATGTCTGCAGGGGGAAATGCACTGATTCACGACTGAAATCCCCAAATCAACTGCAACATCTTTGAAAACCCGATGGAAAAGTAAGAAATCATGATTTCTTTATAATAAATTTTTTTATTTTCATTTCTTATATTTTATCATTTAAATATAATTTAATCTTTATATATACTCTGCTAATTTTCTTATAATTTACTTTTATCTTTTATTTTTATCCTTGATTTCTATAAATTTTAACTTTCATTTCTGATATATTATTAGCAGCGTATTCCGGCAAATGATTATGCTTGGCAATAAAATGTTTGTTATTTATACTAACACTGATACTCTCTTTGTTGCAATCGGTCCCCATAATACAATGGATTTTATTAAAATTAGCTTAACCAAGCTCAATGTTAACTGCCTAAGCTTCATTTCCCATAATATTTCTTCTCTCTCGTCTCCTTGATTAGCTCTAGTACCGGTATCTTCTTCCTCGATTGGCATTATCTTTAGATGCTTATTCTTATGCGCATAGGGTAGGGAAAGTTAAACGTACACCTTTCCTTCTTTCATGATATTCCATGCCCAATTGAAATTTGGTTTCTTCCTAGTTTTCCCATTGCTTGTTGTATTCACTTTTGTCCCACTGCTAAATGTGGAGGCTCTATTGCTTCCCCAAGACTCTACTCTTTCCTGCGTCATTCTTCCTTTCCTCCTCTTCCAGTACTCCCTCTAACAAAACTATTGGTGCATTTTTTAACCCATCAAAAAACACTATTAGAGACCGAAAAAAACGGTCACTAATGAGAAAAAATCGGTCGCTATTCAATTAGCGATTGAAATGGATTGTCGTAAAAGGTTAAATCACTAATTCTTTAGTGACTAATTTTTATTTTGGTCGTAAAATAATGACCGATAAGGTGGTCACTAAATAATTTGGTTATTTATTATTTGAAAACCAAAATTAATATATTAAAGAGGGTAAAGTTAAAAAAAAATAGTGACCGATATATTTGGTCGCTAATATATTAATTGAATTATTTAAATAATAATTAAAATTAGTTGCTAAATCGGTCACAAAAATAACGACCGAAATTAATATATTAAATCGATCGCTAAATTGGAGACAAAGTTGAAAATAATAGCGATTGATATAATCGATCGCTAATACATTAATTGAATTATTTAAATAATAATTTAAATCAGTAACTAAATCGATCATAAAAATAGTCACAAAATAATTTCGGTCGCTAAATTTTAATTGTATATTATAATATATTTGTAGCAACCGAAAATTCGGTCGCTAATCTAACCAAATCTGAAAATTTTTGTTTAAAATTTTGTATATCCAATTTTACAGAATTTGTACCTGCTTAATTGATCCAAACAAAACACAAATGAAAACTTAAGAACTGAAGTCAAATTATTCAAATCATAATAGGAACAATTCAAAGTCATGCAAGCACTCAAGATTCAAAGTCATAACAAAAATAAAATGTTTCTAAACAACCACTCAAGATTCAAAGTCTTAATATGATAAAATTGAAAATTAGTCCTTTGGTATATTATCAGTATCATGTTGACTTGTAGTAGGATGATTATTCATCTGAATATGTTGTAAAATAAGTTGCATCTGTTTCATCTGCTCTTCTTGTTGGCGTTGATTATTCCTCAACTCCTGCATCTCTTCTTGAAGTGTCCTCTCCTTATTATGCTTTGCCACCAATTCAGCATTTAACTTTTCAATAGTCTCACGCATTTGTTCAATTTGACGAAGTACTGGAGTTTGACTAATAGAAGATTGAGAAACTGATGTAGTAGTGAACTTTTTGCTCAATGTACCAAGTTCATACACGTTTTCTTTTTTATTTTCACCTCTAACAAATGAAAAGTATATTTCATTATCATCAATGGAGACAACAGGGGACTCTTGTGAAGATGAGCCTTCACGCAAGTTATGGTCATGGACTTCTTCTCTATGTTGCATATATTGCTCCTAAAAATGAAGTGAAATATAATTATTATGAAGAAAACATATATCGAATAATAAATTATAACTTAGATGTTAAACATACAGCAAGATAACGAGTCTTTTCATTGACCCATTGTCCAGTTATTAATTTCTTTGTCCTCTCAACAACCTCTCAAACGGTCGGTTCCGTTGAAACACCATAGTCTACACATTAAAAATGAGACAAAATTCACTAATTAAAGTGTAATATATTGTATTAAATTACTTATATAAAAATATAATAAACTTACCATCTTCTCAAAGTGAGTTGCAGTAGATATGGAACCCCCACAGTAAGCTGAGACACCTTTATCAACAGCCCGATTATCCTTGGCAATGGTGCTCTTGTTTTGGAAATCTGGAGAACTCCAATATAGGTCCAACGATGCTCGAACAGCTGGCGGTATCCAGATCCCCTTATCCTTACCATTCCTAACTTTGTTCATTGATTTTTTAAAACTCGAGAACCTTTCTTATCAAAAACAGATCTTATGGTTTGTTCTTGTTCCACATCCCAGATATACTCTTTCTGCATAAAAAAAATACACAGCAAACATTTATTTTGCTTAAGATGATTATCATTCCTATATACTCCTAGATGGTTTTAGAATGAGAAGTTTTTGTCAAAAAAATTATATGTGGATTAAATTCATAAACATTGCTCTTTATTTGCTATTAGAAAATAAGATAAAAAAAATTGCTATTTTTTATTTACATTCTTTTATAGTAAAGATTGACACTTTTACATGAATTACGATGTATCCTTTTTCAGAAACTAATTTTTGCATCAAAATTTTAACGTATTTAAAAAAATATTTTCTTTCTGTTGACCATTTAAAAAATAGCATAGAAATGATAAAATTGACATTTTGAAGAATTAATTCCGGCTTAGTAGACGAGGAAGCGTTAGGTTCACAAAAGTGAGACTTGTTAACTTTGATGACTTGCTGCTGTCACCATACAGTCAATCTCACATAGAGGAATAATAGGACAACAGAAGAAGAAATTAGAACAACTGCAAGCTCAAGAATAAACAATTCTCTCATCCTACGTTAATAGTCTCTAAAATAAAACAACAAAATTAAGTAAGTTTTTTAAAAAGATGCTAGCTACACTTATTTTTAATTTTTTGTTATTGGTTAAAATTTATTGAAAACAATCCATTTTGATGATTAAGAATTCTTTGTTGATTTTGGTGGATAATTAATAAAAGAGAATTTTACAACTTGTAAGCGATGATGACCGATTTGTATTGAATTTTGAAAAAAAGAAACCTAAATTAATATATTTTTATTACTTTATATCTAATTAAATATTTAACTATTTTCAACACAAACTAAACTAACATTATCAAAATGTGTTAGTTTAGTTATGATTAATTGTAGCAAAATATTTTTATTTAAAACTTTCATAATTTTGTAGTTAACTCGTTTTGTTGTAATATGTTCATATTAATTAATAGTAAAAATTACTATTATATAAGATTATAGCATAAAATATCAACCATAATAATTAATAATAGATTTTTTTTATATAATTGATTTAGTTCAAGTTCATTAAAATTTTAATCATAAATTTAATCTTATTATACTAAAATTTAATACTTCCTCCCACTCTATTTACCTTTCTCCTTAATATGTGGGATTTAAATTTACTTAAACTTTAATTGTATGTAACAATGTTTTGTACTAGAGTAAAGTAAGTCATCAAATCCCTCAAATTATAAGCACCTAGTATTTATGTCCTTAAATTTACAAAAGAAAATCCCGAAATGCATATATAAATTTAGTTTAGTATTAAAATTTCACCTATTTGATCTCGATTTTCACAATTGAGTCATTTGACCTGTAGCTTTGATATGTACCAATTAATTTGATTTCAATTATTAATTACCAAATTTTAAATCTTATTTTCTAATTTTTCGTCGATAGATATTATGTTCCAAGCATAATTCAAAAAGTGAAAGTCTCATATCACCTAGTCTTGTATTACTTTAAGTGTTTATATATCAAATTATAAAACACAGAACCTGTGTGAAGATGGCTTCAATTGGTATGTTGGCACATTCGTGGTTTTTTTTTCGTCTTTAGATTCTAAATTTTTGCAAAAAAAAAAACTACTTTGATAAATGATTCTAGTTAGAAAAAAATATTAATTATTTATTTTATATATATATATATATATATATATATATATATATATATATATATATATATCATATCGTTATAAATCTCATAGAACAAACCAGGCTCTTGTTGGGTTCAATTGACCATAACCATAAGTTTTTTAAAAATATGCTAGCTACACTTATTTTTAATTTTTTTTATTGGTTGAAATTTATTGAAAACAATCCATTTTAATGATTAATAATTCTTTCTTGATTTTGATGGATAATCAATAAAATAGAATTTTAAAATTTGTAAGTGATGATGACCTATCTGTATTGAATTTCGAGAACAAGAAAACCTGAACTAATATATTTTTATTACTTTATATTTAATTAAATATTAACTATTTTCAACACAAACCAAACTAACATTATTATGGGTTAGTTTAGTTATGATTAATTGTAATAAAATATTTTTATTCAGAACTTTCATAATTAACTCGTTTTGTTGTAATATGCTCATATTAAGTAATAGTAAAAATTACTATTATATAAGACTATAGCATAAAATATCAACCATAATAATTAATAATAGACTTTTTTTATATAATTGGTTTAGTTCAAGTTCAATAAAAATTTTAATCATGAATTTAATCTTATTACACTAAAATTTAATACTTCCTCTCACTCTATTGACCTTTCTCCTTAGTATGTGAGATTTAAATTTACTTAAACTTGAATTGTATGAAACAATATTTTGTACTAGAGTAAAGTAAGTCATCAAATCCCTCAAATTATAAGCACATAGTATTTAAGTCCTTAAATTTACAAAAGAAAATCCCGAAATGACCAATATATATAATTTTAGTTTAGTATTAAAATTTTACCTATTTGATCTCGATTTTTACAATTGAGTCATTTGGCCCGTAACTTAGGTATGTACCAATTAATTTGATTCCAATTATCAATTACCAAATTTCAAATCTTATTTTCTAATTTATGGTCGATAGATATTGTGTTCCAAGCATAATTCAAAAAGTGAAAGTCCACGTCACTTAGTCTTGTATTACTTTAAGTGTTGATATATCAAATTATAAAACATCAAACTTGTATGGAGATTTCAGACTACTAATTGGCTTCATTTGTTATGCTGGAACATTCGTGGTTTCATTTTTCAGTGTTTAGATTCTAAATTTTTGCAAAAGAAAACTACTTTGATAAATAATTCAATAATTCTAGTTAGAAAAAAATATTAATTATTTATTTTATATATTATTGGTATATATATCATGCCGTTATAAATCTCAAAGAACAAACCAGACTCACAACTCTTGTTAGGTTCAATTGACTCATTGTTAACACTCTTGCTCATAGAAGTTTGACTTCGTATATAAACAAGTCTAAAATCACACATCTCAAAAAAAATTCTCAAATAGTGAATTGTGATAATTGTGATGTTTGCACTGCCTTCGGATTGAACTGAACTGTATATAAAACACCATTAATATATTAAATGTCACTATTTTAAGTCTTAATTACAAAGAGAAAAAAGAAGTACCACCAACTTTAGAAAGGTTAAAAATTTGCAATTATAGTACTTTGAGTACATTACAGGATT